CCCTCAATTGCCAGCACTCCGGCAGTAACCTCACCTAGGCAGGGACACGGCTTTGGCGGAACATCCCGTATGTAGAAGGAGAAGAATTGGAGGCATAAGTGAATCTCGATCACGGCGCTGATCCAAGAGGACAAGTAACGTAGCTGAAGTAGTTGCCCGTGGGTGGGATTCAGGCCTTGAAACGTTTCATATGAGAACGGCCAGCAGCTCCATGTTCGCCAACGTCCCCGAGTACTGTCCCGAAAGAGATCGGCTGTTACTATGGATTCATCAGAGTACGATTATGCCAGGTCGCGCGCATCCTATTGGAGAGAAGCCAAAGTTGTTACACAGACGTAGCTCAGCCACAGTGTAATTTGTACTTGGCGAAAGGATCTCTGCCTATACGGTAGGGCAATAGGTAACAGGACCGCCCGTGCAAGTGTGCGTGTTTAGGCTTTTGAGATTGCTATCAATTGTGCATTTTGAAAGCTTGATTGTTGATTGCAACATGGAAGGTGTGCTTCCCTAATTGCGTAGTCGGCAAGCAGTGGATGTACTGACTCGATCTCCTGTACACCTGCCAACTTCGCAGTCTTTGAGCACAACAGTGTCGAGCGTTGGGGCCTTTGCAACCGCGTTCCGTATCCATGGTACTTCTTTCCTTCCGTTAGAGCAATCAAAGCGCGGGCTCACCCCTAAGAATGTTGAACCGTTCATCTATTAAAATAATCACATTTTACTGTACACCAAACGTACCGTAGCCAATGCAATATGTATCCATAACACCGCCTCTCCTATCCTGGCATGCAACAAGAAACGCCAACGCTGCATGCTTGCTCCAGATCCATATGTCGTGCATGCTGCGCTACTCACAGATCCAATGGTGAGAACTAGTCACCCTATTCAAAACGTTATTACAGCGGCGGTTGCCCTTGCTTAAGGACTTAGAATGCCCTCGGCGGATCAGTGTCCGTTGACCCTCCTCTCTGGGCTGGACCCTTCCTTGCTATTCGGCCTCGAGCTTGTATTCATCTCGCCTTGCGTCATCTTCTCCATGAAGCTGATGTAATCGTACTTGGGGAGATTTCTGTCTTCTTGCAGATCGGGACCTTTGTGCTGTGGCATACTCGAGAGAAGGTCTTCGACTAGCTCGTCAGGGATTAGGGAGTGCCGGAGATCGAGTTCGGTTACGTAGGGCTGGGTTATGTGTCAGCCGGCGAAGATAGGCGCAGTAATGAGGGCGGGAGCGAAAGACGGATGCTGGGCAGGGAGATGATGGCAAGGAGGAGAGACCGGAGGCGAGGATTGCTCGAACGTACCTTGCCATCTGCAACCTCCCTGAAGCTCTGAAACACCTGTTCCGCTGTGTTCTGGTCTTCAGTAACAGATACCATAAACCGAATGAACTGCTCAAACGTGACGTAGCCCTTCCCAGAACTAATGCTCATAAATTGCTCATGCATCTCTTCCTCATCGTAGACCAGACTCAGACTTGCTAACGCCGCCGAAAATTCGAGCTCGTGCAGCGTGTTCGAGAGATCCTTGTCGAAATGCCTGAACACCGATTCAAATTCTTCTAGCTGAATGGGAGTTAGGTTTGTCATTTCCCTGGCAACAATTTGGTTTTCCAAAAAGCCCATCTTGCCAACAACACTGCCTCGTACTAGATCTAGTTCATACGCTAGCTCATCGTACGTATAGGTGGTAAAGTCGTTTTCTTCGATGTTAGCTTCGTCGCATTTGTGGGAGAGGGTGGCAAGTGTTTCGAGGTATTCGGATAGGGGAGGTAGGTTGCTGTGCAAACGGCGGACATGGGCAAGTTGGTCTGCAAGATCGCCCGAAAGACCTGCGATGGCTAGCGAAAGGGTGGAGAGGGTGAGAGCGAAGTCGTTGGCTTTGTCGGCGAAGGTGCGGCGGAGAGCGTTCTTGATGCTATGAAGAAATCAATGGTTAGAAGACTGGCTGGTAGGAGATGGGGAAGGTTGCGCACTCTCGAATGGTCTCGTTGATGACCTGACTTCTGTCTCTCTCGGCTCTGAGTAAGATGGCCCATTCGTTATCCAATACTTCCAGCTTTAGGTCCTCTGGAGGCTCGTAGGCTCGTAGTCGATATGTGCTCATCTTCGTCTTGATGTTTCCAAGCAGAGCAGCCAGATCTGACTTTTCAGCCACCCACTTCCGCTTTTGACTTCTCTTGTACACTGAGAATTGGCTTGACTGCTCTTTTGCATCCACATACGTGCCTGTAAAAGTTGCTATTTTCCATGCCTGCCGCTGAGCCTGGATCTCTTTCAACAGATTCTTCATCCTTTGCTCAAAAGAATTTTGCATGCTCCAAGCCCCGTTCATGTTGGCAACAAACTTCTCGACCCGTCTGCCTGCGTTCTCGACTCGTTCCATCTGGGAGAAAGCATGGAACCAGTATGCGATGTATGTCATGAGGGACCGCTCGTCTGGTTTGGCAACGTCACAGACATCCTCCACGTCCAAAAGATCTGGTATGCCAATCTCTTTCGAGGCGATTTCGAACGCGAGCTTCATGTTTCCTCGGTGATCGCTCTTGTCCAGCTTCTCGTAGTCTATCAGGTCCGGTCGATGAATGTCAAGCAGAGCGCAGCTGTGTCCCAGTCAGCATGTCTCTTGCCCCTATTGTCTCAACGCAACCCACAAAGCGAGCCCATCATTCCAACTAGCCGAGAAATCCCGTACTTCCACCCCTTCATAACAAGCCGTCTTCCTTTGACACCACAGCAGCAAGCCTTCCTTCGCCGTCATGCCCTCTTCACTGATGTCATTAATCGTAAAGCGTAGAATAAGCGTCCATATCAGCCCAAGTATTATCTTTCTGTTTCCATCCACAACGTCTTCTGCCCCAATGTTTGTCATCTGTATGCCTCGTGCTTTAATGAAGTCGAGGGCGACGTTGACATTCTCGAAGCGCTGGACACGCAGTTTGGGTTTGGAGGCATAGCGGCCGAGGGACTCATTGCCGAGGACTTCGAGGAGGTGGATGAGGATGACCTATGGGAAACATGTCAGTCCCCAAAACCTCCGTACATAGATAGCAGATCACCGGCTAAGAAGATTGTATTTACCCCGTCTGAGAGGTCTGTGACCAGATTCTTGACAGCTACGTCTCGACCGCTGACTTTAGCATTCAACCTGCGGCCCATGATTCTTATCAGTCATCACGGTCCCTCAAGATGTACAGGTATCGACAGACCATTTCGTGAATGTCTTCTCCTGAACCGCTACCCACTGTTGCTCCACCCCCATCTCCACGAATTCATTGGCTGCGTGATGGGCACGGCGTAAGGCTAGGAGTTGATGGTTGTAGAAACTGTAGCTGTAAGTGATGCACTGTTGTATTCATGGAGGATAGAAGAGATCAAGAGCAAAGAGTAAGTTTCAGCAACGGCGGCTATGAACTTTCTGCATGAAGCTCAACGAATCAACATGCGGAATATTTCCGCGACAGCAACCGAGCTAGCCAGTTTTGGTCGCATATCATAACTTTCTTCAAGCACTCTCAAGGTGTTAATATATCTCTACAGACATTGTTTGGCTTATCTGTCTCCATTCGTCGGGCCGACCACTGACAATGTTGCGCTACAATACAGTTAGAAGTGGTAACGTCTGGCATTGACGAAAGCTCCCTCAAGTACCTCTTTGACTACGATTTAATTTCACTCTCGCTCAAAGGCAGATTATGCGCACTTGTGGGAGATGCAGCTTGACTAAATTCATCCTATCAATTTTTGTCCCTTGTACCTTTGGCTTGTCGAAAGCGACGGGCCATGCCCACTCAGAGTAGTCACTGACAGGCTTAAAGAGTAGAGAATTTGTTTGATTTCGCTTTAAATCATTGACAATTTACTAGTTTTAGCGGTTCCAGCCCCTTCTTCACTATCCTACTGATGGTAAAGGTCTAGAACCAATCCCAAAGAAGTCTCAATTTCGTGAGTTTTGAACATCGTGGTCGATAAAAGTGTGAGTGCCATAAGCAATGATTGGCAGGCGATTACGGCGATCGGAGGCTCAACTTGCATGTGAGAGCAGTCTTAGGCCAATCGATTGGCTCACGTTGAAGGTCTGAAGCGCTATTAGCCATCTTTTTTTTTAGAGAAGGATGAGACTAAAAGTTGACATTTAAGGGAATTTCTTCCTTCAACCGAAACTCTCTTAAGGTAGCTTACCTTTATTCATCGCCCTTTCAGACCTTTCTTGAGCCGAGGTTTTCATATCATTCGAACATTTCTGCTAGTGAGGTTATATACAGCACAAAAAACGGGTAAGCTACCTTTATCTATTATCCTGTTCAAGTCTTATTAAGCGATGGAATGATAGGTCTCAAGGGACTTGAGTCGAAACTAGCCTACAGTGCGATGGTGCATTACCTCCGGTTGTACTTAGACGGAATGCTTTCAAGCCATTACGTGGCAACTTCAAAAGGATTCGAGCCAAGATAACCTACACTGAACTGGTAGATTACCTTCCGATTGTGCCAAGACGGAGTTCTTCCAACCCACCATATAACAATCTCAAAGCGTTTTGAGCCGATGACGGACGCAGTTGTTCGGGCACCTTGGCTTCGCGGTGTGCCTTTGCGCGCATTGAATTGGTAGATCACCCTAAACAAGTGTACTTTGACCTTCAATCCACCCTCTCCGCATAGCAGTTTTCTACGATTCCACCCTTCAAATGCCCTTTTTGGCCGGTCAATAGCCCTTCAAAAGGTGTATTTCGAGTTTGAAGTTTAGACAGTAGGTGTGCTTTCTGAGGTGCAAAGCTCGCTCAATTTGTTGACCTTTTTGGGGAGGAAGTGAGGTTACACAATGCCTATTCAGGACTACGGCCAGAGATCCGCAAGGCTAGGTAAACTTGACCGATGCGCTGCTTACAGCAACAGCAAACAGCAATGATTCAGGTTCCTTACAATAATAGATGTCTTATTTTTGCTACGAACTAGGGTATCTATGACGCCTAAGAAAGAAGCTACTGCTGTTCTTGGTTTGTATTCAGGCGCGACCTCTCCGATCTTTCGAACCTTTCTTTTCTGATTGGGATGGACGTCCCATTTCCTCGCGACTGGATCTTTCCATTGGGTGCTGGCGCCGCCTTGTAGTATTGGTTGGCTGTGAAGCTGTTGGAGGTGAGCCTGGAAGCGGTCGTTTCGTGCTCTGTGTACGTGGAGCGCTTTCTCTGAGTGAGGTAGAGACAGGGAGATCCGTGACGCTTGGATAATCGGACGGATTTCTTCGTCGTCTCGCACCATCTGGGTCTCCCAATGGTTTGGCAGATCGGTCTGGGATCATTTGCTTTGTTCTTGGAGACGCTACGCTTTGGCTTGTTGGTGGATGTTTACCGGCTGCCTCATCAGGATAACTACTCGGGAAGAGCCGCCCGTGTCGCAGGGCCGACTCTTGTAAGTATGCATCGCTGAGAACTTTGTCGGAAGGCGTCTTGTCTGGTGGTCCAGGTTTCTGAAGAGTGGAGGGACTAGTTGTCGATTGCCTCGCGGTATGAAACGAAAGACTCCGCGATGTAGAGCCTGCGTCGTCCAAGGAGCGGGAATTGGAGTGTGGACTTGGCGGAGCACTCGAATGTAGATGCTTGGTCTCCAATATGTAGTTGTCACTATAGCCAAGAGCTTTACATATGCTCTCATACCTGCCGCTGTAAGCACGGCCGCCTCTACTCGAGGGGGACACCTACGATACTTCATCGCCAAATTCTTTCTTCACAATCCATGGCATCGTATCATGGACTCGATTCGGTATTTCTTGAACATCTTCGCAGTATTCTGATCGCGTGAGATGGGAGAGGAAATAGTCGCTAGTCGAAGCTGACGATGCGAACGTGCCATACATGGCGACAGAACGATCCCCTTAAAATAAACGATCAGCGTATGGATCGAAGATCTTCCCCTCGGTACAGACATATCACCACGAGGTCAATAGCACGGTAGCGCCAACCCGTGAAAAAGAGCCTGTCCATGATCCTATTTACCCATTGGGCACCCTTGAGGTATCTGCCAATATTTCTCTCGCTGGTGTCGCTAATACAGATTTGCAGTGCCTCCACTATTGAATCTTGTGGAATGTTTCGGACCGATAAGACATTGCAGAGACAGACGAGCAGGAAATGTTGGAAATTGACCCTCTTGCCTGAATGTCGATGAGCGAAGCCGCGTACTAGCCTTAGGAGGTGATCTTTGTTTCCTGTTTCATCCGTCGCGCTAGTCATATCACCTTGGACAGCGGATGCGTGTATCACTACCGCAGCGAGCATAGAATTGTCCAGTTGTGAAAGATTCCCATTCCATACCCATCCCAGTGGTACCTCTCCAAGCATCTTGTCAGCGGAACCTATCCAAACTGCCTGCTTGTGTGGGTCGTTTCGGGGTCTTCCAGTATTGCTACCCAACCTACTGAGGTTTGGTCTGTTCGAGTTCTGCCCATTGGCATCTTTTTCTAGAGTATCTACCTCGCTAGTTGATGGTTTGAGAGAGGTAGGTCGGAAATTAAGAGAGTGAGCTGTCAAAGGCTGCTGTGTAGAGGCGCTGGCTAATGGAGAGGATACAGCCCCTACATTGGTCTGATTGGATAGCCGGGTCGGCGGACGCCTCGTATTTAGCGGTGGACCTGAAGCAATTTCCCTGGAGCGACTGGAAGATCCAGGTATTGAAGGAATTGGACTTACATCATCGATACTGCTTGGTGACGGTATAGGCCGAAACGTTGACGTGGCTTGCTTGGATGATTGATTCGATCTACCTTGTCGGGTAGTAGGGACCGGCTCTTTAGGCGAGAGAGCTGAGGCGGTGGACGATGCTTTTGGACCAATTTGACGCGATGAGCCAGCTGAGGCAGGCGGCACAGCTGATGGTGTGGCATCTTCTTTCTCCTCTGACGCCAAAGCTGCCTTACAACGAGGGCATTCATTCATTATCCTCTTGTAGCGGGCTAGCTTTTCTTCAAGCTGCTTGGTGTGTAACTCTGCCATTTTCGGGAGGGTTGATAATGAGATCAAGGTTAGAACTCTGTACGATGCCAATCACTCAGGGTTTCTTTCATTTTGTTAAGTGGTCTAAGTCGATGTAAATGATGGTTCTGACCACTCGAACTCACGAAAGCAAAAGAGATTATGCTGAGACATGCAGTGAGGCAAACTGCAACCAGAACAAATTACCGTGGAGAGGAAAGTTAACTTATTTGTATTCATGTTGTTTGCTCATCTGCTATCCGGGGTTTGATCGATGACTGGTACGATTGATAGCGGTCATCCACATTGATGACATGGCATGTCACGAGCGACAAACAAGCTGTTGTGCGCTCCTACGTAAGTTCTTAATATGCAGGCCTCCGCGAACTCGCTGTATGCAGCCGATATGGCTTCTTCTCGATGTTACATTCATCGTCATTCATTCAGATCAGAACCCTGATATTTCGTATGACAACAGCGGCCGTGGGACGACGAACGTCGGAATATTAGAGTCGGAATATTAAAGGCGCAAATCTTCAAAATTGTCATAGCAATCGATCTTTTACTTTTGATCAATGCCCATTTATATGGATAGGATTAAGGTAACCGCGTTACAGTAATTCTGGAGAATTTAAAAAACTTGTCACCTTTTTCTGACACCTTGTCTAAGTTATACGACTTCTTGAATTCCTCCCTAGCAGATAAAAGAACGTTTTTAAAGGAAGAGTACATGGAGATTGTCACTGTTGTCTGGCAACTGTAAGAACTATACCATTTCATTAAGGGTTTCGCCCTCTATGCATAGCTTTCGCTACATTCTCTTACCCAAAAAGCTTGCCCATAAATTCCCAGATATAATCCGAAGGGTCGCAGTGGGATCGGCGCTAGCCCCAAAGCGCCGTTTAAAATATGTGCTGGGGCGCGGGCTTCCCAGTAGTGAAAAGCTTGCCGAGTACTGGTTTTTGACTGATTAATTCTCAGGGAGACCCCCTAAAACCCCTCGGACCCTTCGGGGGCTCTTTAAGGGCTCTCCGAGAGCTTCTGTCGAGGGGCTGTCAAAGCAAGCTCGAAATTTGATTATTTTAGTGATATTTGATTGATTTCGAGCTTGCTTTGACAGCCCCTCGACAGAAGCTCTCGGAGAGCCCTTAAAGAGCTCCGAAGGGTTTAAGGGATTTTAAGGGATCTAACCCTGAGAATCGAGAGAGACGTTGTGATTTATTTGATATACTTAGGGGAGACCCCCTAAAACCCCCCTAACCCTCCGGGGGCTCTCCGAGGGCTCTCCGAGGGCTCCTGCCGGAGAGGCTCTTCTCGCAAGCTCGATAGTTAGACGAATACTTTATCAAATTTCGTCTACGCTACGTTATTTGAAAGCGTATAAATAATTCTATAACTCTACGTATTTAGTTTATTATCATATTTTTGATAAAATAAAAGGAATCAAAAAAGGTAGATTTGAGGATTTTGAAGTTCTTTTCCAGCTTCCTCTTTTGGACGTACCCGTGTGCACCCGCGTTTAGATCGAAAATGAAGAAATAAGGTGTGTTTTAGACTGAAAATGGTGAAATTCGATGATCTGATTGGTCACTAGCCTCTTAGCGTAGCACCCATTCTCATTTTCAAGTCTTGAGCATTGAGAAAGCAAGCTTTCCAATTAAAACGAGCCGCAAAATGACCCCACTTTCGCTCCTCTCCGCTCCTCTCCCCGCTCTCTCCATCCCCACAACAGCGACAACTTTGATATTTCAAGAACGTTTCAGCTCCTACGTCCCAAACGACCCAAAACCATCAGCCCAAACAGCCACAGTACTCAGACTCTTCGACCATGGGCCACAACAGCTGCCCCAAGTGCGGTGCGGGCATCTCAGGCGGAGGCAAGAAGTGCGGCAGCTGCGGAGCTGTACGTTCCACTCTTCTATTCCAATACCTGTACGCCATTGCCACAGAAGCTGATAATATATTTGTATATCATGCAGATCTGCCCTCAGTAGGCACTCAACCTGCAAACAGAAGGGGAGACGGAGGGGAGGACGTTGGATACGCGGCTATGACTTTACGAACACCTACGACGAACATTCACGGCGAGTTTTCATTTGCACGGGTGGAGGGGCATATGGGGTCGGGAAAGCATTCGTTGCCGGCGACATGGAGGTGGTGTTTGGTAGTACGACATCTCAGGCGGCCGCTCGGGTCGAGAGCAAAGCTCACAGAGCCTTATCGTGACTTAAAAGTGCGAATTGCATACTGCCTATTCGAAACAGGCTATCTCTGATGCTAAGAACCTTGTCACACGGATCGCTGCGCTTGGTCATCCATTAGCACTGTTTACCAAGCACTAAGCACGTAAACCACACTATCGGACTCTGGTATTGAAACCCCGTTTCTTTTCGCAGCTAATCTTAGTAGGTCTCGAAACCGTGTATCCCTTTGACTTTCGACGGCTTTAGTGTAAGTTTCGCCCAAAAATACATGGAATGAACCAAGGCATGGCTGGCCCAAGCCATCACTAGGTACCGCAAGCCGTAGAGCGCCCCACTAACATCGACCCCCCTTCCCGGCCAGGCACAACGGCTGAAGGGGAAGGGGATGATATATAGAGCCAATCCCCCAGCTCAGCCAAAGCTACATCTCCTACCTACGCTCCCAATTGCCCACCTGCGCACTCAATCGACCTCGAGCCCCTCTCCTCACCCCAACCACCCAAACAACGGCCCCCCTCCACCGCCTCCTCACCACCACCACCCGCACCATGGCCAAAACAATGCGCGCAGCCGTCATGCACGCCCCCGGCGGCCCCGAAGTCCTCCAACTCGAGAACATCCCCGTCCCCACCCCAACCGCCGGCCGCGTCCTCATCCGCGTCAAAGCCTGCGGCATGAACCGCTCCGAACTCTTCACGCGCCAGGGCCACTCCCCCGGCGTCCGGTTCCCCCTCGTGCTCGGCATCGAAGCCTGCGGGCTCGTGGAAGAGTGTCCCGGTGGGGAATTCAAAAAGGGCCAGATCGTCGCGACGGCGATGGGAGGGATGGGACGGGTGTTCGATGGCGGGTACGCGGAGTATACGTGTCCGCCGGTGGGGAACGTGGTGGCGATCGAGACGGGGTTGGACTGGAAGGTGTTGGGGGCCGTGCCGGAGATGTTGCAGACGGCGTACGGGAGTCTGTTCACGGCGCTGAAGTTGAGGAAGGGGGAGCGGTTGCTGGTGAGAGGGGGCACGAGCAGCGTTGGGCTGGCGGCGGCGGCGATTGCGAAGAATCACGGGGCCACGGTCGCCGGGACGACGAGGAAAGCTGGGAGGGATGGGCTGTTGAAGGGGAGTGGGTGCGACCATGTCGTTATCGATAATGGCAAGGTGCGGGAGGAGGTGAGGAAGATCTGGCCCGATGGCGCGGACAAGGTGCTCGAGCTCGTCGGCACCTCCAGTCTTGTCGACTCGCTGTCTTGCGTGACTCGAGGCGGCATTTGCTGCATGACAGGCATGGTGTCTGGGCAGTGGTCGATCCCGGACTTTGAGGTGATGGCTGCGGTGCCCACGGCGGTTTGTTTGACGACGTATCAGGGAGATGAGAAGGACTTTGTCAGTACGCCCTTGGAGGAGATGGCGCAGCAGATCAAGGAGGGGAGTTTGAAGGTCAGTGTCGGGAAGACGTTCCCGTTAGAGGAGATTGTGGAGGCGCATCGGACGATGGAGGAGAATAGGGCTGGTGGGAAGATCGTTCTGCTCATGTAGGTTGGACTGCGGAATAACGTGCGAGTTGGGGCCATGAATGTGCCACATACGAGTTAATGAAAAACAAGCAAATGCTCTTGATCTTCAAGATCACCTCCTGATTCTACTCTAACTTCCCAACCCACTGTACTCCGCGACCTCGGCCAAACTCGCATCACTAACCTGCACCCCATAAACATAGCTATCGAACACATTGCTATGTCCCTCTGGATCATGATCCCCCTGTTCGCCTCCATAAATCCCATACTTAGTGTAGCACTTCCCCGTCCACAGCGTCAACCCATCTTTCTCCAGCACCTTTGTACCATCCAACCACATCTCCAGCTTGCTGTTGCCCCCAGACATCGTGTCCCAGGCCAAAGCAACATTGTGGGTGGTGTTGGTCGAGAAATCGGAGCCGTCGCTCCAGAGGTACGTATTCTTTCCACCGGGAGGATTGTAGCCGATAGAGAAGCGGGTGGGGAGGACTTCACTGAAGGCGAGGAAGAAGGGTGCATCTTGGTAGGTGGAGGAATCCGTTTCGTCGTAGGCGTTCTTCCTGCAAACCAGTAGTCAGCACCAGCAAGCCTTGCACCAAAGGTATGACACCAAGGTCGCAGTCTTACCACTGAAAGACGGCCAAGTGCTCATGCACGTTCCCCAGCCTGAACTCGTACCCCACATAGTAGTGCTTATTCGCCGCATACGCGCCTGCTCCCTTTACTTCTGCCCGGCGGAACCTAGGGTCTCGATGGTAGTGGAGGGCGGGTTTACCGTCGGGATCGGTGCCAGTTTTGATATAGATGGAAGAGTTGCCAGGGCAGGCGATGTAGTCGCGGTGGAAGTTGCCTTCGAGCTGGCATTCGCCGAGAGCCGAGATTGGGGAGGGGGCGGAGTAGTCGATTAGGAGGGTGGAGGTCGAGAGGGAAAGGAGGACTGAGAGGGGAATTAGAGCGAAGAGAAGCATTGTAAAGATTTTTGCCAAAGGTGATCAGGCTGAGAGAGCCTCAATAGCAGAACGGTTGAAACTAAGAGAAAGAGAGGCTTTGAGTCAAGAGATGGGGAGAAAAAGAACTATATGAGAGAACATCTTCGCCGCAGGCAAAGTAGGCTGAGACTCCATTCATGCACTGTCATCCGCATATGATAGTGTGCCTCTCATTTTCCAAGGTCGCGCCGTGAGAGGCACTTCTCAAATGCAGGTCGATGCTGAAATGCGCCCGGAGTGGGTGGATGAAACGAATGTTTGGGGGCGACGACACGCTTGAACGGCGAGGTAACATGCTGCCTTCCTCGTTTGGGCTGTGCCTCTTATTTCTGCCCTTCATGTTTGTTTCACATCATCGCTGACAGCTTTGCTTGTGCGTCTTGTCATGATTGTGGGTGGAAGAGGAAGGATAACAGATGGAGTGAGTGTTCCGTAGCCGGGGAGGGGGCGGTTGCAGAACTCGATGCCAAGACTGGGCTGCTAGGAAGTCTATAAGAACACAATCATTGATAATGTCTCTAGTCTTGTCGAATGTGTCTCTAAGGGGTTTTATTAAAGGGGGAAAAAAAAAAAAATAATTTTTCCCCTTTTTTTTTTTTTTTTTTTTTCCTCCCCTTATTAAATTTATTCTCTATAAAAAAAAAATTTTTTTTTTTTTTCTCCCTCAAAAAAAAAATCTATGTAAAGTCAAGCACCAATTTGCTCTGTATCAGGCCTTTCCATCACAGAACTGGACGACAGCCCATTTTCCAGACCACGCCCATTTCCTAGCTCCACTATCACCACCACCACCCTCCATCCCCTTCAGTCTCTCATCGGCGCCGTCGGGCAGCCCGACCACAGTATCTGCTTTGCAGGTACGAAGCGCCAGCGTACGGACATTTGATGCAGGTCCCATTGGCCCAATAGCTGTGGTGAATGCCGTTGTTGGTTCCCACATTGCCTACTCCCAGTCAGCGGGCCCATACGTACAAACAGCAGCAGGACACAAACGTCAGCTGTCAACTTCCGGTAGTTGAGGTCACCCTTGAAAATCACCAGCTCCGAATCTTTCAGATCCTCGTAAAGTCTGGGCTCAGCTTGCGGTAAGTGCCAGTAGCTGTGCGCAGACGTCCAAAAGAGATTTGGCCGAAGAAGTAACTGACCTTCAGCGTGGAAACCAGCCCAGTGCTGAAATAAGAAGGAGAGATCTGATGCCTCTTTCTCGGACAGAGGGTCTTGAACCTGATCTGAATGTTCGTTGGGCGTAGAATAGAAGCCTTGAGGGTTTGCAAGAGCGCTTAGGAGCGCTGCAAAATCCGCTGGAATGACATCGGACACGAACCACGGGATCGTCTTGGGATGCAGAGTGATCTGTGTAGCTAGTCCAGCGGCAAGAAGATAGCCAGCAAGAATGAGATCAACGAAAAGTTCGAAGCCGGCGTTGTCAAGTACGATGTCCACCCGCCTGACTTTCTTGTCTGTCTTCTGCGCTTCCTTAAGAACCGTGTACGCAGCTGGGAGGTCATTAACCAGTATATTATTTTCGGCTTTCTTCCTCGCATCGGCACCCTGCAGCTTTTGTATATCTTCGTAGCTCAAAGACGTTAAGAGGGAAAGGTCCGTGGCGTTGCCCCACAAGCACATCTCGCACATCTCGGTGAACAGTATCCGCTCCGCTTCGACCAACTCTTCAGGGACCTTCATAGAATTTACATCCCTCTCCAACTGCGAGACTAAATCTTTGTATTTGGCAGCAAGTTCAAGGACTGCTGGTCGCGACGAGCGAAAAGTGGACATTTTCTGGCGAGAAAAGACATCGTAGGTCTTCCAATGGTCTGAGAGGGAGAAAGAGGTGTGCACACGTCTAGCTTTTGCCAATCAGCTTCGGAGTCTGGGGTAGGTTCCGCTCACTATACCGGTAGAGATAGCACTCTGCAAAGAGCCATGGCACGCTGAACCATTTTGGACCTCCTAACGACTCTAGCTCCTTATTGTAATTTGATACGTCTGGCTTGCCATCATCGGCCAGTGGTCTGCAATAGTCAGCTAAGTACAGGCAACTGTCGTGTAACGGTTTTCGTACGTCAATTGCCGGTCATGTTGTACCTCGTACTTTAGCTTCGCCAGCGCCTCCAGGATTGTCTTGCCTTCCTTTCGCTTTGGTACATCATCACTGGCTACAATGGCACGGTGGATGTCATCGATTGCTCCTGTCTTCCGCGGTCAGCTTGTCCCAACGCTCACTGTAGCCATACTCACCACGATGACGGGCCAACGGTCTCGGGCAGAGATAAAGGCAAAGGATGTCCTGTCCGAGGTTGCGTATGGAGCTACAGGAATCTCAACCTTGGATTCCATGATGACGGTAGCCTCTTATCGTAGAACTCAGCCAGTGGCTAACTGCTAAACTGCTGTTCTAGCTTGAAAACTGCTGAGAGCTGTAGAATGACACGATTGGAACGTCTGTTCCAAACGTGGTTAGATTATCGGTGTCGATTAGAATGGCAGACGCTACTGCGGGACTACTGCAAGCCACTTGCGCAGTCATCTCCACTAACCCCCATATAGAATAGGAGGTAAACAATGGAGACGCGCTCATGCCTCGCTCCCATGCTTTCGTCCCATGTTTCTTTCATGTCATCGTCGCTTTCTACCACCTTCTATCATTGTCGACTCCCTCTCCACCCTCCACAGCCCAAATTGCCTAGCACATAGCCGGGATCATGTCGCGCCTCCTCAACAACCCCCCAAATATCGAGACAATTCGTCGCTTTTAATTCGAATTGCCTCATCAAAAGGAGTTGAGCTCTATGAGGGTATCACCTCGGAATACTACGAGAGGGGTATGGACCGTGAGATTGGGGCGCCGGCGAGGCGTCGACTTGATATGAGGGAGGCTCTGGATACCGTTCGTTCCAAGTACTACGATTTGGAAGAGTCAGTGGAGCACCTTCCTCCAGCTGAGGCCGATCGAGTCATGAAGTGGTGGATCGCCAAACTCGAGACCATTACCGGTCCACTACGGTCTATAGATATAGCGGACTTTCAGGAGGAGGTGCAGGCCAAGCATGGGGTGGTGGAAGGGGCAAAGAATCCTCTGGGGGGGGGTCTCTACGACTGTGGATATGGGAACGACGGTAGCGACGTTAATCAATGAATTGTACAGCCTCAAATGTGCCCAATTGAGTGACAGCGAATTGCCAGAAGATCAGACGATTATCGTCACGATGTTTGCCTGAGTTGCACGCGTCTCCATTGTTTACCTCCTATTCTAGGTATAATCATAGTCGACTATTCGCTTCGCTCATAGTAATCCTCAACTTAAAGACGCACTAATCTCAAAGACGCGAAATCTATTATTTCTTTCTAATTCTATATAGATCTCGTTCTATAACTTAAATTTAATAAATATTTTAATATATATATACTAGCTTTTATAAATTATAATTCAACTTTTAAATATAAGTCTTAGTAATTTATTAATTTTTTTACTAATTTCTTAGTCGGTATTTGCTTTAGAGTTTCTTCGTCTTTTCTATAACTTTTCTTCTTTATAATTAAGTTTATATATTTAATCTATTAATATTTATTCTCTCTTCTAGATAACTATCTTAAAAGTTTTTTATTCTTATTGTTTTTAATAATTTTAATATTTTATTTAATAATTTATTTGTAGTTATTTATAATCTTTTTAATCGAGTTATAATTATTATATATTTTTAAAATAATAAATTAATAATAGTTTTTTAATTATTATGTTTTAATAATTCTTTTTTAGTTCTGTAGTATAGATATAAACTGTTGTTTTTTGATTTTATTTTTTATATTTTGTTATAGGTATAAATTAGTCTTTTAAAGTCTTATATTTGGCGAAGTTTGATTCTTTTTATTAAATATTACGAGTTATTTTGAAATCGCTCTCTTAGTATATGTATTTGTTTTTGTAATATTTAATAATTAGTTTTTTTTATAACTTTATATATATGAATATGAATATAATAAGTTCTTTAATTGTAATAATATATAAATTGTGTGTTTTAGTCTTTGAATTAAGACTTTTTCTTACTTAATAATAATAAAATATATTAATTGTTTGTTTTATTAGTTTATTTAAATATTTAATGATAAAATAATTAATATAGATTTTTTTTATTCTTTTATTATTAATATTTTATTAATGTTTGTTTTACGTTTTTTTTAACGTTTATTTATTATCTAATTTAATTTTTTTTTTTTAAAGTATAATATTATTTTTAGTTATTATTTTTTTTTTTAATTTTATATTATTTTTTTTTTTTTTTTTTTACGCTGTTTTTATATTTATTTTTTATTTATTTTTTTTTTTTATATTTATTTTTTTATAATTATATAATTATTTTATTAAGTAATTTAAAGAATATATAAATTTAGTATTTTAAAATATACTTTGACTCTAATATGATTTATTAAGTAATATTTAATATTTTTATTATATTTTATAATATTTTTTAGTTATAATAAGTTTATTATTTTTTTAATTTTCTGTTATTTTATACTTATCGGGTTTAGATTTTACTCTACGACTTTATGTTAAATATATTTTATATTTTATATTTTAATAGTTTTTTTTTGATAATATAATTGTATAATATTTTATATAATATATAAGCTTTTCTTTTGTTGTCTAGGATTATTTAGAGCTTTAGATCATCCAGGTCTTGGCAAGATGAAGTTTTATTTCCTCTAAACGCGAGATGCAGACTTTTTTCATCTACAACTGCGCTTTACGAGCATCGACATCCAAATTGATCTCGCATCATAACTCTTTCGCCTCCGTATAGAAGCCAAAGATGATTCGGAGATCTAGCTATTTGTTCCTGTGCCAGCTCTTTGAACCATGAAAAACTACAATTTCACCGTCTTTAGTCCTATATCATAAGCCTTTTCTCTCTCTAGAGCTTTTAAGTGAAAGACTCTGCTGGTCGTATTTCTTACAATGAAGAACTTCCTAAAGCTCGCTACGCCCGATGGTGTCATGACTATCAATGAAAATCTCATCTTAATGCTTCTAGATACCTATTGAACTTTTTACAGATGCGTATGGCCAGTGACCGCCCCACGCTTGCTGTGATGTGACGCTAATCATTTCTCTTGTGTATAAGTTCATCTGGCGTCTTCTTTGATCAAGTCTGCTGCGCGTTCTGCGACGGCGTATACGCTCGATTGGATATTTCCCCCTGGGATTGTAGGCATGATGCTCGCGTCTACAACTCTCAAATTTGCAGTACCGTATACTACCAGACGCTCATTGACAACGCCTCCTTTCTCCCTCGGCTTCATGGCACAGGTACAAGCTGGATGGTTGTTAGAGATGGCCGACTGTCTAACGTAGTCCCTTGCACCATTCATATCCCTGATGAAGGCCGTCGGATGGTTTCGCCTTCCATCAGGCTTGAGCAACGAAGCAAGTGGCTCAGATTGGGCTAGCCGCTCTAGAAATCTAAGATGAGTTGCGAAAATCTCAACATCAAGCGCATGAGATAGGTACTTAGGATCAATGTGGGGCTCCTGCGACGCGTGGGCGGACGTGATGTGGACGCTTCCGCGAGAAAGGGGATGTAGCAAGGCAACACCAAGACTGACGTAGTTTCCCGGGGCGAGGTCCTGGGTGAAATTTTTCGCGGAAGGGCTGTTGTGAAGGTTGACCTGCGCAGGGAACATGAACATGGAAGCAGATGCCTTCTTGTCGCTCTCAAGTATTGAGCGCACAAACTCAAAATGAATGGCATCTTTAGGATCTTGTGACTTGCAGTCAAGCAGCAAGCGCTCGAGGTCGGCCGTTTTGTCGCCATCCAAAGAGTTTAGAAGTGGCATGAATGCGTATGAACCTATCCCACCGGCACACAAAGGCCCGGCCTTTGCAGTGGTATACATCTGCATGGCCATTTGCGTTATCTCTGGCTCTTGACGCATTAGACCGTCCCCAGTGAAAATGCCATCCATCACTTCATAGCTGATACCTGTCATAAGGTGATCCTGGAGGTTCTCTCCAACATTAGGGTTGTCAATAACAACGTGGATACCGTGAGTTTCTAGCAGTTCTCTGTCACCTATGCCCGAGAGCTCGAGGAGCTTCGGTGTTTGAAAAGCACCAGCAGCGAGGATCACTTCTTTGCTAGCATTCACGATGTGTTCTAGGTCATTTACGCTCACATGGACACCTGTCGCTATGGCCGGGCCATTTCTCGTGTCCAGAATGATGTTCTTCACCGAGACTCCAGTCAGCACGGTGAGATTTGGCCGGTGGGAGGCGGAAGCATAGTAAGTGTTGGCTGCGTAGCTTCGGGTCTTGGACTCTGGGTCAACGGTTATGGGACTACTGTAGCCACCCATAGCCTCACCAGCAAAGGGATCACGTTTAAGGCCATGCTGTAATCCTTTGAAGGTCTGCACCCAGGCTTTCGATAACGGATCCTGAATTGCGCCTTGAAACGAAGCTTGAATGGGACCTGAAAGTCCACGAACATCCTCGTCGATCCAATCAATTCCAAGGTGCTCAGAGACTTCTGAGGCCGGGGCAGTGAGAGTGTAGCACTTTCGATAATAAGGCATCATCACCTGCCAGTTCCAGCCTGGATTCCCGAGGTGCTCCCATGCTTCAAGGTCAGTGCTGGATGGAGCGATAAAGGCTTCAGCGTTGATTGCGCTTGATCCTCCGAGTACTCGACCCTGAGGATGGCGAAGGACTCTGCCACCCAAATGTTCCTTAGTGCCCAGATGCGAGTCAGCTACTTGGGCCTAATGTGAGGGAGGGAACAGCATTACCTGCGCTGACGTTTGGAAAGCCCAGTCGACCTCAGAGCCCAAGACCGCAGACCACCCCGCTGGTATATTGATCCTTGGGTCTGTGAGGTGGTTATTGCCTGCTTCCAAGACAATTACCTTGACGTGATCATTCTCAGACAAACGACATGCCACGACCAAACCTGCTGTACCTCCGCCGATGACCACATAATCGTACTCTGCTTGAAGCAAGGAGATGGACGTGGAGGCATCCATGATGATGATACTTGATACTTGCCAGTATAGTAAAACACAGATTGCGGTGTGTAGGTAATCCTGAATAATCGATTACTGAAAGGCTAGGGCTAGGCTAAATACCCGTGGTAAAATGAGCAGTGAGGTAAGCCCTAAGGTAATCTTATAAGCGGATGGAAAATTTGAGTAATATCTCCCTCTAAATTAAAGAAAGTAAGAATCTAGCTTTCGATATAATAATAAAGGATAAGAGATATAAGTATATTATAAAGACTAATCAAATACGAATTAATTAGATTTAGATCTAAGAATGAGTAAGTTGAAAAGATAAAGTGTTATCTAATTAATGAGGAATTATCTTTCCCCTATTACGACTTGACGAACAATATCGTAGTATAAGTCGAATTTATATCTAGCTATAATAAAGAGAAGTAAATAAAGGCTACGGAGGAGGACATATTTTTAATAGTATATAAATAGCCTCACTTTCTGTTTTTTATTAGTGTTAAAACGATTTAACAGCGCGCTATTATTAGTAGCTTATTCGGCCTAGTTATTAATATATAAAGGTATTCTCTGTACATAGATATTCTTCTTCCTTAGATATCATTAAGAATATTATATCTAGTGATAAGTCTCACTTATAGTAGTAATTGTAGGTGACCAGCAGGGTATTACCAACGTTATCGCCTCGACGTTACACAACGGGTGGTAGATTTGATGGGATGGTGTGACGTGGCGTTCACACCGCACCGTTGACTGTGCAGACTTTTTGTCCACCCACGAATGTGGATACAGGTGCAGCTGGTGCCCTATCAAGACGTCAATCCCGCTAAGATGAGTGTGCATTTGGGAAGCTAATCCCTGTGTACCACTGTCATGAACTGCGCCTAATGTATTAGACAACGGAAAGGATTTGAACCTTCGGGATTCCTAGCGCATAGCCTCAATGATTGGTTTGGTCATTCAGCGCCATGGATAGAGCTGTCTCCAGCTCCTTTGTGCCTCGAACCTTAAACGAATGCCAATTCATATAGGATTTTCTACTATGGGGTTCTTTGCGAGAGCGGTACTTGCTCTGCGGATCCCTTTCCACTTTCTGCAGAACGCTTGCTCAAGCACCTATGGTTGGTGATCTAAACTCATCTATACTACAAGTATCAACCTCACAGAAGTCGACAATGCTGTCTCTATCTCGTTCAGCATCGGCGCTGCTGAGCTTCAAGATAAGTCTGGCTGTACTAGCTGGCTTTACTTCGCATCTTACCATTTTCATACGCGGAGAATGGCACACCACGGCGCCTACACTCTTGGTGTTCTATTTGATGTTGTGTTCATGCTACTTAGCTCTAGAAACAATCATCTCATCCCAGTATGATCTGCACTCACTTTGGACCTACCTTTTCATTCTCGCTGCTCATTTCGGCTCCATTCTCGCAAGCATGACAATATACCGCACCATGTTGCACCGATTGAATGGCTTTCCAGGTCCATTTCTTGCAAAAGTTACAAAATTATGGCACGCTGCTCATCTGTTAGATTCAAAAAACCACCTCCTTTTGGGTAGACTTCATCAACAGTATGGAAATTTTGTTCGGACCGGTGAGAGTTGTACATTGCATATAGGAAACCCGTAATCATGCTTACTCAACTGTGCACAGGACCATCGGAGGTGACTGTCTTCGAGCCTGAGGTACTAGGAGCAGTTGATGGTCCAGGAAGTCACTGCACAAAGGCGGTTTGGTACGATGCTCTTCAGCCGGAGAGCCTCGTAAACACTACGCGCGACAACGGTATTCACACCCAGCGTCGTCGTATGTGGAATAATGCGTTTACTCCCCAAGGTGGGTCACTAAGCCCTCAGACATAGCTTCGACTGCGTCTGACGAACAGAAAGCTCTTTCGGGATACGAAGACCAGATCGTCTTTTATGCGAGAAGATTCGAAAACGAAGTCGCAAGATCAATTGGAAGCCCTGTCGATGCGTCGTCCTTGATATACAAATTCACTTTCGATCTGATGGGCGAAATCGCTTTCTCAAGGAACGCCGGTCAGGACCGTCTTCGAGATCAGCAATGGCACGCTGCCATGACAGCACTACAGAAAGGCATGGCTCTGTTGGGTCCATTGAGTCCTGTCCCGTGGTTGCTACATATCGGTCTCAGTCTACCGTTCATCCCAATTGTTCGGGATTGGAACAGCATGGTCGCCTTCTGCAAAAGCTGCATAGATGATCGTATCAAGGTAGATAACCTGTCCAGTGGCACGATCTGTGACCCTCGTATGGCATTAGAGATGACTAAGTGTGTGCCGGTCGACCAGCTCGAGGAAACCGATCACGATGTATGCCGCTCGTTATTAATGGTTTCCGCCTCTAACCAAAAATACAGATATCGTCATGGTTGATCGATTCATCCCAGGCGAAGACCCTTTCCGAGGAGGAAAGAGTGAAATGGCTGTATGGCGACGCCATCACAATGGTGATTGCAGGCAGGTGAGAATCCGCAGTCCTAAGCTAGCCACACACAACCTCAAGCCCGCTTTGGCTAAATGAGACCAAGTGACACCGTCGCACCATCTCTCGTGTTCCTTTTCTACCACATGGCGTTGCATCCAGGCCCTACCGAAGTATTACGCAAGGACTTGCAGACTTTGGACTCTCTGCACGACGTCAACGCGCTCCTGTCGCTACCTTCCATGAACGGCTTCATCAACGAGACCCTCCGTCTTTACCCTACCACGCCGACCGGCGGCTACAGGGTCACGCCGCCTGAAGGTCTTCACGTCGCCGGGCGATACATTCCCGGCGGTACGACGGTCGTGGCGCCCGCTTACAATATCGGCAGACGTGAGGGTCCCGCATCCGTTCTGCAGTCTCCCCTGTCTTGAGGCTATCGTATGAGAGGGCTAATTGTGTGGTTCTTCTCACAGTGGCAAGTTGCTTTCAGCGACCGGACGAGTTCATCCCTGAACGCTGGTCTAGTCGGCCTGATCTGGTGCTCAATAAACGGGCTTTTGCTCCTTTCAAACAAGGTATGAGGATAAATTCATAGGCCCGGTATTCGGATGATTAGTACTACTGGGCAATCCATGGGTTTTGCTGACGGGTCACGTCTGCGCAGGACGCTATAGTTGTATAGGCAAGAAATTAGCGTTGGCCGAGTTGAGTATCGTGGTTGCGTTGATGGTGTCGAAGTATCACATCCGATTTCCTCCAGGCGAGGACGGATCGAGGGTGGTCAGGGATATGAGGGACTGTTTCACGGCGAAGCCGGGGCAGCTGAACCTCGTGTTTGACGCGGTGGATGACCGGTGCTAGTGGGAGTGTGTGTCGTAACTTCAACCGGCGTTTTTCACACATCTTGCCCACCGCGAATGAAATCCGCCAGCTCTGGCGATTGCTCCATTTGTATGCTAAGTATTGTACAATATCCGAAATCCTACAGGACATTTCCAAGCCGTCCTACTAGACAGAGTGTTCAACCTTGTCCGCCGAACTTGACTGGACCTGCCATCCTTTCATCACCATGATGTCGTCACTTCCATGAGTCGCCCTACCGCTCTGTGCGTCTGGGTACCCCGACGCCAAGTCCGATCGTCCATGCGCAACGGCATCGGCATGGTTCTGCCCACCACCGAAGGACACACTCGTTAGCGGGTAGACATCCTCTTCCAACCGGCGGAAATTCTTGGCTTCCGAATCATTCGCACGCAGGCCTTGTCGTGCGAACGGCGGACCCGTGCGCGTGCCCTGAGCCGCGTTGCTGCTCCCGGTCCAGGTCTTCCATCTGCAGACGGCCGGGTGGAAAATGTGTGACATGACGGGTGGAAGAACGGGAAGGCATGCGTTGATGATGCCGAGGCAGGGCTCGAGCTCGCTCCAGATGGCGTCGTCGATTCCGCTGTAGGAAAGGTCGTTCAGATCTAGGTTGACGACGGAGACGATTCGTAAGATTGTGATGATACATATCCTGTTTGGGGCATCGTTAGAATATGACCCCAGGGCTTGCTTACAAGATCACACAGAGACGGAAGAGAAACTCACACCCCGCCGATACCGAAGATGGCTGTGAGGCCCATTTTCCTCGATGTTGCCATCTGGAGTCCCCACAGCATGGGCATTGGGAGTGCAATCACGATGAGATCGAGAATGAGATTGATGACGGACACGCTCAGAGACGTCGCCGAAGTATTCAAGCAGGTGCCGCCTTGGATGCTTTTGTCCCAGTAAAAGGCAAGTGGGGAGCACAAGAAGAACATTCGGACAATCGTGCTTGTCCAATAAGCCACCACTAAGAGCATCACCGCATACACCACTATACGGAATTTCCTGATGGGGAATATTTGTTTGTAAAGGTGCAAGATCGATAACTTGACGCAAGTGTTGGCGGAGACCCACGAGGGTTCCGCGGCTAAATATGACTAGGTAGGCATCTCTGTCAGTAGCTGGAATGCTAGATACGCTTCAGGTTCGTACCTTGGCAAGAGAAACTTTCTCGCTCGCCGTCAATTCCGTCATATGGTATCCTACTTTGCCTTTTGTCACAGCTGTACACACTAATGAGACTTGATCAATTTTCTGCCTTGGGTAGATGCTTACCTAAGAGCAAAGTCACGGTTTCTGTGATTGCAAAGAACTGCAAAAACATCAGCTTTCGGCAAATCCTTTGCGGAAGGTCTCGTACCAAAGCGGCTATAATGAGGTAATCGTTCAAAACCAGGTGTACTCGTTTGATCCTCCTTGCCCACAAGCGGAGAATCACTGCCAAAGCGGCCGGGATGAGGAAAATGATACATATGACAAGAATTGCGACTCCACCTGGTCTCAGCTTGTCCGTAGCTGTATCTGATGCACGCGCGTCCATGTTGGATGCTCTCTAATGATATTAAATATGATTCATGGAATAGAGACAAAAGGATCAAAAGACGTAAAAGTACAGAGATGATTCTGAATTCGAGACAACGCGTGACTCTTCATACATCTGTCTACTGATCCCTACCTGAAGTGGCGTAATTGGAGCAAGGTTTCAGGCTGCGCCCAGCATTGCATAGTACTTATCAGTTTCTGGATGAGATATGAGGAGGTGCTGGCGGCACAGTGTCTGCAGTTTCAAGATCGAAGTAATTCCCTGCACAGAATGGAACCTCAGCTACGAGGAAGTGAGAGTGCTCCACGGGGATCTACATGACAGCATCCGAGCTGACCGTACGCAGGATTTTAGTTGGTGCCGAGTAAGCTGAGTTAATGTGGGAACGCGAAACACTTTGTCAGCATAACGGCTCTAATGCCAGTCATTTCCGCTATGGTGGGCATCCGAAAGGATTCTGAACTTTCATATTATTAGTCTTCACAGAAAATTGGGATAATGGATCTTGATTCGCTTCACACTAACACTGGCACTGCCCCGATTTGTTTCGGGAGCAGCCTATCTCAGGAAAGGATTTCGAGTGAACTATCCTTTACCGAGTTGACCTTGTTCGAAGTCAACATGTCCCAGGAAAGACTGATGACTGACCTTCTTCGCTGTTTCGATCTTGTCCAAAAGATTCTCCACCGCTATCTCGCCTGCGAGGGGAGCTGCCACATTGGAAGTAAGGAGTGAGGGGTGGAGTTGACTCGCGTGCGGTTGAGGTCTTCTGGTAGCCCAAGATCATCCAGACAGGTACTTGTGAGACATACACTCGCCCAAAGTCGGAGCTGACGCAGTAACAAAAGACATGAGGCTCGCAAATGCCTGTCGTTCAGCTTGGTACCATGGTAAAACCTTGTGGCTTTTCACGGCCAGCGATATCAAGTCAATCGTGATTCCCACCATGGCTTTTGGCGTATTCAGTACGCTGTCCGGCCCAGTCCTTGGATTCGAGGACGTAAATCCTCTGTATCTTGTTGGGAGATCCATGATCCTCTTCTGGTGGGCGTGGATGAATCTGCTGCTCCTTTGTATCAACAACCAAAGAAAAGCCGAGGACATCCAAGAAGACCGTGTTAACAAAGCCTGGCGGCCTCTTCCCTCGGATCGTCTCACAATTTCGCAAGCTGAAAAGCTTCTGTGGGGCGCTGTACCGGTGATTGGCCTCATTACTCTCTGCACAGGAGGTTTTCCTCAGTACGTGTTGCTGACCGCTTTGAACTTCTGGTACAATGATGGAGGCGGAGCTCATAATCCTATCTTTCGCAACCTTATCAACGCATGCGGGTTCGTTCTCTACGCCTCGGCAGCAATAGACATAGTCGCAACAGCACCGCTTTCAACATATACGCTCACAATCTTTCAATGGCTAGCTGTTATCGGTGGAGTCGTGCTTACAACGATCCAGATACAAGATCTGCGCGACCAAGCAGGAGATAGTCTGCGAGGACGACCGACGCTGCCGATCAGCATAGGAGACGGGAATGCCAGGTGGACAGTCATCGTCCCAATCCTCTTCTGGTCGACGTTTCCTCCATTTTTCTGGCGGCTGGATGTTGGTGGGTACGGTCTGACTGTGCTCATTGGGGCATTCACCATTGGTCGATTATGCTTCTTGAGAACGTCTGAAGGAGACAGAACCACGTTCAAGATTTGGAGCTTGTGGCTTGTCTCTATATACTCGCTGCCGTTAATAAAAATGTATTATACAAGGAGAGAGCATCTGTGAGGCGATGAGGGGCAGTTCACGCATATGCTGTGGGTGTAAGTTTGTGGTATCCACTTCTGAGTACCTTGGAGGATTTCGCTGCTGGCAGACGAGGATGTCCTTTTCAGGTAGTTTAAGACAGCCGATTCTGTCAAATTGTAATACCTGGAAATCTCCTGAGGCCACCTAAGCGCAGTTTGCTGCACACAGCCTTGATCTGTAGGTCACGGCGCTTCAAGCACACTCAAGCTCATATTATAAGTTAGGCGGCATCCTTACAGCAAGCTTTGATAGAGAAAATGGATAAAGCTGAGGTGAGTGTGGGCCTTTCCCGCGTGAGCGGCGAGGTACTCGTATCTATCCAATCAACGTTTTTTCGATCAGAAGACTTTCGCTAGCAGTGTTGGGAAAAAGGCTTTATTCTTCCATGTTTCAATATGATGTAGATTTCGAAATTGAAGGATTAGAAAATTATACGGCTCTTGTTCGTTTCGTGATCGAGGCTCTGTGGATGGTTTGTCCATTGTTCCTTGTCATGTCTTAGAGGATCAGTCTCTTTTGAAAATGAGAGCCTTTGAGTATAAGGAAGGTGCTAGGAAAAAGTGTTGAGCATAGGAAGGAGTCTTTGTACAGAGCATAGATGTGTCACGTGATAGCGTGTTTCTGTGGCGCAGCCGGCTTCCCAGCCACGTCGGAAGACAAATCGAACAACTAGCAACCCTTTCTCCCTGAAGAACAACACCTTCAACACTGAAAAGATGGGCTTACTTATGTCCGGTATCAACATCCATTGCTCAATCAATAGCAAAGGAGTCCAATCAAATCAAAATTCTGTCGCTAACCTCTAGGCTCCAACATGCCATTCATCCCACACACGCCGGAATCCCTCATTCAACGATCCGACAGCAAGGACCCGGGGACAACATGCAAAGGCATCACCTCTGCTGGTAGACCCTGCAGACGTCCTCTTGGGAGCTCTCCTCAGTCGTCGCCAACGGGTCATCGAAAGTCAAAGAGTGGAGTAATAGCTGTGCTGCAGCCGAGCGATGAGGACCACGAAGGCGCTGCAGCATATTTCTGCTTTCAACACAAAGACCAAGCAGAGACCCTCGCAGGCGGCTACCAAGACGGCAGGAAAGCAAACATAGTGCCGATACATCAACGCACGAGCATCGATACCTTGGTAGACCGAACAGGGGTGCTGGACATTGCAGACGATGAAACACCATCAAAAAGCCGACGTCAGAGAGGTCATGCTAGACCCGCAAGGAAAGAGACACTGCCGAAGAAGTGGCAAGATGTAGACGGCCCTTTGATTGCAATTTCAGGAGAGAAGCAGCAACCCGTCGGGAGAGGCACACAAAAGCACCAAGCAAGAGGACAGTCAAGCTTCTCGTTTTCTTTGTTCTGCTGCGTCAGCTCTGCAGACCACGATTACACGCCTCCTCCGCGCGTCCAACGTAACTCTGAGAAGCCTGAGTATGCTCATGCAAGCGCCAAAGTGCCTTCGTCTTTGCAGCAGGCCCAAAGACCACCGTATTCCAGACCCACAAACTCGCGTTTACCCGTTGGGCAGGCATCGGGTAGTCCAAGGCCGTCACGTGTAGCCCAAGGGAGCATTCCTACCGTGAATACCAGACCGCCTGCTCAACAGCATCGCTCGTCTCACACCCAAGACCTTCTTTCACTGATCCCCACAACGCTATCGCCGCAAACGACGTCTCTTCTACTCGCTGAGCTAGCGAAGCCAGTGTCACCACATGATGAAGAAGGCTATATCTACATGTTCTGGCTTACCGATAATGCCCTCAGCGCCTCTGACTCGCAAGCTGCTTCCTCACTACTCTCTGAGGGCGCAGCAAGCACTCCCAATGGACGTCGCCACAGTGATGTCCTGGGTCAAAGCTCAAACAACAGAAACGCGTCTTCCAAGCCAAAGACAATGCTCTTGAAAATCGGTCGAGCTTCCAACGTCCAACGTCGTATGAACGAATGGAATCGGCAATGCGGTTACAACCTCTCCCTCATCCGCTTTTACCCTTACCTTCCCAGCTCCCCGTTACCCTCTAGGCCAAACTCTTCTTCTCCGCCTGCATCGCCCTCTACACCTCACAAGGTACCACATGCCCACAGGGTTGAGAGACTGATTCATCTAGAACTTGCGGAGCGGAGGGTGAAGCGTGATTGCGAGAGCTGTGGTAAAGAGCACAGAGAATGGTTTGAGGTCGAGAGCAGTAGGGGTGGGTTGAGGGGGCTGGATGAGATTATCAGGCGGTGGACTGAGTGGGGAAGGAGGGCAGGTGGGTGACTGGGTTAGTTGTCTGGTGATAGTGATGATTTGGATAGCCATGACGAACAGGTTCACGACTTATGGGATCGAATATTGATGATCAATGGGCAACGGACGTACTGTCACAACGACATTTAAGACACATGAAGAGATGAACATCTATTTGCGAGGTTATTGGGCGTGTTTTTAAGTCCTTGTTGACAATGCTGGATCGATGCACGATTGCTATAGTGCTTCATGAATCCCTGCTTGCAAAAGCAGCCAATAATACGTGTTGGTATCTTCCTTCAATGCAGAACTCCACGCTTAGCCATGCGAACAACACGATCCATGCACATTACAAATTTGCTCCAGCGCTTCTGAATAAGTTCCCCAAAACGCCCTGATCTTGATTCGAACCTGGCTGCTGTACGGCTGGCATATTATTTGAACCTTGTCCCCTGGACAAGTTGAGCAGCGCCATCAAATCCGGACCATTTGGAGCCCCAACGTTGGACTGCTGTTGCGCGTAACCTTTCGACTGCCCGTCAACAGCCCTGGTCCCCCACTCATTCCCAGCTCTCTCCGCACGCTCGACAATGCACCTCCCACAAGCCTCCCTCACCCCCTTCGTACTGCCCTGTTCCTCCTCAAAGATCCAGAGTCCATACACCTTCTGCTCGTCTGCATTCCCATGGCCCAGGTTATCCGCGCTATTCCCTTGCAAAATAATGTATTCGTCCGTCACATCGACCTCCTCTGCACTTTTCAGGTGTAGTATGAAGTTATCCAAACCGCGGCGGTTGAGCACTACGACCGCATGCCCTTCGTCCCGTAGCTTTACAACGAATAGTGTGCCCTCGATGCCACTTTTCTCCCAGGCTTGAGTAGTAGTGCTGAAGATGTAAACGACGGAGTAGGGTGCTAGGAAATCTATGGAGACGGTGGAGGGCAGGTGCCGCTGGAGGACGGAGAGGTTGAGGACGTCGTTTGTGATGGTGGGATTTGCCGGGGCGGTGTATTCGAGTTCGTTGTCCGAGGGTTGTGGGTGGTGGGACGCGTATATTGTTGTAGCCATAATGGAGGAATGCGCGTAGGCGAGGTGTGAGTGCTTCGTATGAGGCAAGCGGAAGATGTGCAAGATGTTTTGCGGGCGTGGGGGCCATGCGTGGGGTTGCAGTGCGCCTGGAAGTAGCCAGGACAAGCCCCAGGGGTCCCCAAAGCCGCGCCGTGAAACTGTCCCTGCGCCGGGCTACCTCGGTAGTAGCGCGGCGGCGAAATAGCAGCGATGATCTTGTCTAGAACTTTTGAAGCCCACTCTTCCATGGCGGCACAGTCTCCCCGCCGTCATATATATCCGTTGAGAGCGAGGACGAATGCAATGTAGCTAATATTACTGTCTTCATCCTCTGACTCTGCAGGACTCGGTTGATTACATTGGAGTCCATTCCAAGGTGCTATAGAAGAAGCTCAAGAAGTTACACAAAAATATCTGGATGCGAGTGTGGCACCGTCTTTTACGATGGCAACCAGCAGCATACAGACATCGCCCGCTTCTAAGATGAACTCTACTCCCGGAGCCTTCCCCTCAACCCCAGCGTCCGCAGAAGCCCCATCGCCCTCCGTCGTATCCTCCCAGCTCAGCCTATCACAAGCCGTTCACCAACGAAGGGCAGAATATACAAGGTCACGAAGAATCAAGGTCAAGGTCGGCACTTGGAATGTTGCTTCTCTCAGTGGGACAGAGAAAGACGTTGGAGGGTGGTTCGTAGATGGTAAAGGTGTCTCGGAATCTCTGTCAGGCTTGGACCTAAAGGACGATGGCGAACCACGAAGCAATGGTCACAATGGATCTCCAGACATCGAGAGCGTTGCGTCACAGGAGGAGAGACGGTCGAAAAAGAGATCCACTATACCAAAAAACGATCCAGGCTTCGTACCAGGAGGTGACGAAATTGGTCTATACGTCTTAGGTCTACAGGAAATCGTCGACATAAGCTCAGTGGCCGAAGCATTACGCCCCTACAGTGATCCTCATCCTGGCAGAAAATGGAAGCAGGCTGTTGCAGAATCGTTGCCGCATGGTTATCAGCGAGTAGCGGAACAGCAATTGATTGGCTTGTTTCTCGTCATCTATGCCTCCTCTGAGATTGCACCAACAATATCCTCTGTCAGTACCACGAGCGTTGGAACTGGTCTTGGGGGTTACATGGGCAATAAGGGCGCTGTGACAGCTCGTATTGTGCTTGGCGAGACTACGCGCATGGTCTTTGTCAACTGCCATTTGACCGCCGGTGTCGAGAAGGGCAACCTGGAACGAAGGAATTGGGACGCGTCTCAGATTCTTCAGCGGACCAAATTTGATCCTGTCTATGACGGTGGAGGTGTCATGGAGGAATTTGGTGAAGGCATCGGAGACGAGGACTTTGCTTTTTGGTTCGGCGATCTCAATTACAGACTCGAGAGCATGCCTGGAGAAGACGTTCGAAGACTGCTTATGCTCCATACAAGGAATGAGTATGGAGCACATGGAGCACAGCAGCCGTCATCCAAGAAAATTGAGAATGAGCTTGCAAAGCCGGAATCGCTGTCGTTCTCTCGCAACCAGGAAGCTGCTAATCGTCCGTCTGAAAATGATACCTCATCTACTCACATTTCTGTTGGGAATGCTTCCGATCCATCAGTAGCTTCATCCATTACTGTATTGCCGAGCCAGGAGTCACTCGATCCTGCCTCCGACCCAGCATCTCTCCAGACTACACTCTCTTCACTTCTCGCGCACGATCAACTACACTCGCAGATGCGCTCACGGAAAGCTTTCCATGATGGGTGGCGGGAAGGGATCATTGACTTTTTACCTACATACAAATATGATGTCGGAAGCGTTGGCATGTTCGACTCGAGCGAAAAGCAACGAGGCCCGAGCTGGTGTGATCGAATTCTATACCGCACCCGCAAAGACAGGCTGGACTATGACCAAAAGGTCCGAGACGAGGAGATGGCCAGGAAAAAGGACAACGAGATGAAGTTGCAAGGGGTTGTGGACGCAGTGACCGATGAATCCGTTTTGTTTGACTATGATCCAGAGACGGATGGCGCAGACAATGAAAACAACGCAGTCAACGAGCAATCTCCAGATCCTGAGTTCATGACTACGAAAGCTGGTTTTGAGGACAAATTGAGTCTCGATTACTATAAGTCTCATCAACGAGTCCTCTCATCAGACCACAAGCCATTGGATGCTGTCTTCACTTTAGACTACGATGCCGTCGATCTCGAAATGAAGGCTAGGATACACCAAGAAGTCGCCCGTGAGCTAGACAGGGCAGAGAATGAAGGACGGCCTGTCGTCACAATTGTGGTCGACCATCAGAAGGAGACTGACAGCACCCATACCGATTCCTCTTCACCAAAATTCGAGGGCGTCGACTTTGGGCACGTTAAATACGATCACGTCAAGACCAGAAGTGTCACTATAGCAAATACCGGTCGTGTCCCTGCAACTGTTGGTTTCGTGGATCGCTCCATCGAGTCGGGTCGACCCGGTGGTGTTGCCCCTCCATGGCTAAAGATTGATTTCGACCGCCCTCCTGACAATAAGAATTCTAACCCGGGTGCATTACAAGAGCACACCCTCCAGCCTGGTGATGCCGTCAACGTCGAGTTAACCCTCCATGTGGACGACCTAGACCTTGTCCGCCGTCTTGGCGATAAGGTAGAAACGCTCGAAGACGTCCTTGTCCTCCGAATTCATAACGGCCGCGACTACTTTCTCCCCTTACGTGGCGATTGGCTGCAATCGGCCTTCGGACGCTCGATCGAGAAGTTGGTGCGAATACCAGAAGGAGGCGTGAGGAGGTGGCAGCACCAAAGACCAGATGGCAGTAGCCACGGAGATGAAGGGGTAAAGTGGTCGGCTCCGCGCGAAGTGTTCCGGCTGACGGAAGCAATAGAAGACCTCGTTGAGAGAGCGCTTGCGCAGTGGGGGATGACGGGAGATGCCGACAACGCGCCGTGGGACAAAGACGTGGGTTGGCCATTCAGAGGGTGGCTTATGGAAGGGAAGCAGAGGGCGATGCTGAAGGAAACAGTGAGGGAAGGTTTAGACTCTGATCAGCCATTTTCCGAGACCTTCCCACCGGAAATCGATTCATTGCAAAGGCTTGAGGCGGTGGCGGAGACGTTGGTGCAGTTCCTCGAAAGCTTAGAAGATGGCATCGTCACCGAAGCGCTGTGGCTGGAGCTGGAGAAAGGCATGCTGGAGCGTGAAAAGGCAAGGAAGACCCTCTCGGAGGAAGATGAACGGATGTGGATCCTGGATACCTTGTCCAACGCACCCGCTCACAGCGTTTCTTTCACTTTCGTCACGTTCATGCTCGCGCGCGTCGGCAACGAAGTCGCCCCTTGGAATATTCCACTAGAGTGTGGAAAAGCGGAAGGGGTTCCCGCTCAGGTTGCGCCTCGTATGAAAAGACCTGAGGTGAATGCCGCATATGCGGGCATCTTTGCAGATGCCATGATACGCTTGCCTGCGGCTTCGAAGGGCAAGGAAAGGAAGGCCAGCGAGACGAGGAGGAAGCATGTCGTTGAAGTGTTCCTTAAGGCGACGCTGGATGATGGGTCATGATATCAAACGGGGCGTTGGGGTAGCTTGGCGGCGTCGGGGCATCGTTTAATTTTATAGAAGCAACGCTATCGTTCACGCCGAGCGTGACGTCGAAGAGAAGCCATTGATTGCACGAGTACCCCAATTTGCACGAGCCAAACCGAGGTTTCCGGAGTCCCCTCCCGTTGAACTTCGCACCGGCAATGAAAACATTCCCGGCGGTAAAGCCTAAGTACCTAGCCCAATCCACACACACCCCCTCCTCCTCCTCCACTCGAACCGCCTTCCCCCTTTCGCACTTTCCGATCTCGTACCTCGGTCGATGAGCTTCCAGCGCTGAACGACGTGAGCTCGGGTATTGGCACGATATAAAGGGTTGAGATACGATCCGTTGAAGGGGGGAAAGATACAGTAGGTAGAGAGAATGACACGACGGGTAGGGCAATCGGTGATGGGATTGAATCGTCGCATGCGATTGGGGAATCTTTAGGTGGATGGATCCTGCGCTTTTGGTACCTAATTACTTACCTGAGCCATATGTTTCAGTGTGAGATTATCGGTTTCCTAAACGCAGAGTGTGGGTATGGAGTAGGTAGGATGAATGCCCCCGTTCGAGAGCGGGAGCCTTGATGACGCTGTTGCGGAGTCGTACCTGTGTGGCGACGTGCGATTCGTGTAGGATTTGCTACAGTAAGTATTCTTGCGTAGTTGGAGATTACGGGGTTCCCGATAAAGGTTGCTGGGAGTGCGGATTATTTGGGATGAGCGCAGGGGCTGCTGGCGATCGATCAAGTTTGCCCGGTTGATGGAGGATTTGGGTACGTATGGGAAATTGATTGGCTCATTGGGGTCGTAAAACGAACTAAGCCGTATCTACTCTAGCGTCTTCGGCTGACCGATGAGGTCTTGGCATTGCTTGCTTTTCCGCTGTAAAGTACTTTATGTAATGTAAAGGAAGTACAGAGGTCTGCACCGAAAGTCCTGCACCCGCCAAGACTCTTGCGCTCAGACTTCGGATAACGCCCCACCTAAAGGGCTATCTGGACAATGCGTCTGGAGTTCTTCGGAATCGCACCTAGCCCTAGCCAGGTTTCGGGGCTTAATGCCCCTATCAAGCCAAGAGAAGTACCTAAAGTCCCATCCATGCGCTGTAAGAAGATATTTCTAGGCTTCCCCTCTACAGGGCCGCTTTCCGAAAGTAGGGTTAGGGCTGCACTAGTGCGGGTGCAGGACTTTCGGTGCAGACCTCTGTATGTCTCTTTTCTTCACCCAAAGGTTTCGAGCAAGAGCGCAGAACAGGACATGTGAAGGGGAGTGTCCTTGAACATCTTGAAATGAACGGTGTTTACTCGTGACTCTAATCAGCGCTTGACTGAGCACGATCAACTACCGCAAAATACCGTACATTAATGCAATGTTTGTGTCCATCCAATGACGATGTCAGCGCGTCGAGCATTTATCTCCAAGTCTGG